TACCTTATTATACACTTCTGAGCAGGTGGGACTTGAACCCAGGCCTCCAAGCTCAGAGGTAGGGATACTATCACTGCATCATAACAGCCCCAAAAAACTCATATTCCTTCAAGCCAGAATTGAACCAGCTACCTAAGGATATCAGATTTGTGACATACTACAGACCTCCGCTGTACCAGATGAGCTATCAAAGGACATCCAATATTTTACATTCAGGTTTTCACTAATTCAACTGCAAATAGTTTCGAAGTAAATTTGCAATTAGGAACTTCAAGTCATACGATATCAAAGCATGACATGATGAGTAACAACATCAACATTAACACCAGCTTAGAAGTCTCAAACATCCCCAAAACAGAACCAATCAACCCTAATGACACAGTTGGTAAACATATGCCTATTATAACACAGACTAGAGAGATCAGGAAGGTAAGAAATTCCATTTCAACAAGGGGCAGGGAAGAAATCAGCCAGGTTAGCTTCAACTCCATCACTATCCACAACTCCTACTAGAAACTGTGTAGATACCAACATCTGGGCTCACAGTTAATTTACAAAGCCTAGACTGACTTTCAGTGTCAGTACAGAGAGAGGAGCAGGCAGCTTGAGCAGTGCACTGTCAGATAGGCAGTACTGCATCAACTGTGTACTGGTGAAGGTCACATTTTTCAGATATGTTGCATCAAAGATCCATCTGCCTAGAATAATACAAATACCCTTATGTAGTTATCTTGAAGAAAAACGGGACTTCTCCTCAGTATCCTGGGCAAATATTTATCCCTCAACTAACTAAAATAAATTAGATGAATATTGTCATGCTGCTGTGCAAAAATTGGTTGCCATTTATTTCCATTATAATTGACCATATTTCAAGTGCAATTATTGTTAAAAAAAAAACGTTACAACTGGAGGTTGTGAATGGTGCTCTATAAATAGAAGATATTTCTTCTTTCTTTCTAATGGGAACTTGAATGATGCGATCTTTAAAAATTTGCCCGTGGGATATGTGCGCAACTGGCTGGGCCAGCATTTATTGCCTGTCCCTAATTCCCTAGAGGTGGTGCCTTAACCATTGCAGTTCATGTGGTGCAGGGACACCCACACAGTGTAGCTAAGAAGAGAATAACAGAATTTTGACCCAGCGACACAGAAGATATATTCACTAAGGATCCTCAGACAGCACCTTCCAAACCCACAACCACTTCCATCCAGAAGGACAAGGGCCGCAGACACACGGGAACACCAGCCCCCTGCAAGTTCCCCTCCGAGCTCCTCACCATCCTGACTTGGAAATATATCGCCGCCCCTTCAGTGTCATGGTGTCAGAATCCTGGAATTCCCTCCCCACGGACATTGTGGGTCAACCTACAGCACATGGACTACAGCAGTTCAAGAAGGCAGCTCACCACTGCCATCTTCTTGAGGGGCAACTGGGGACAGGGCAAGAAATGCTGGGCCAGTCTGTGAAGCCCATATTCCATGAGTGAATAAAAAAATTCCAAGTCAGGATGGTGTGATGCTTGGAGGGGAACTTGCAGGTGATGGTGTTTTCATACATCTGTTGTCCTTGCCCTTCTAAGTGGTAGAAGTCACAGGCTTGAAAGGTGCTGTCAGAGGAACCTGGGTGAGTTGCTGCAGAGCATCTTGTAGATATGACACATTGCTGCCATTGTGTGAATGAAGAAAGAGAATGCTGAAGTGGCAGATGGAGAGCCAATCAAGTTGCCGGTTTTATCTTGGATGATGCGGAACTTTTGAGTGCTGTTGAAGCTGTCCCATCCAGGCAAGAGAGAATATGGAATCACAGTCTTGACTTGTGCTTTGTAGATAATGGACAGGCTTCAGTGAGACAGGAAGCCAGTTATTTGCCATAGTATTCCTTGCCTCTCACTGGACGTGTAGCCACAGTATTGATAACGATTGGTCTATTGTGTTTCTGATCAATGATAATCCCCAGGATGTTGATAGTGGGCGATTCAACAATGATAATACCATTAAATGTCAAGGGTCAGTGGTTGGAATCTTGCTTGTTGGAAATGGTCATTGCCTGGCACTTACAATGACAAGCAACATTTGAGCCACTTATCAACCCAAGCCTGGATGTTGTCCATGCCTTGCTTATATATAGACACAGACCGCTTCAGGCCCACCTGCTCTAGACGTGTATTAAATCTCTGAGCAGGTTGACTCAGAAAACATCCACGCTGAAGGATTGCTGCAGGGAATGCCCTGGGATTGTGATGACTGACCGACAATCATAACCACCTTCCTTTTTATTAGGAATTACTCCAACCAGCAGAGAGCTTTCCCCATTGTTTCTAATTTTTCCAGGGAACTTGATGCCGCAGTCAAATGCCTTGACGTCAAGTGCAGTGACCTGCACCTGATGGGTTGGGTTTGATTGGTCCTGCAGTTTGCAGACAGGACATACCTAGGCACTGTGCCACATGGTCAGGGAGCATTGTGATTGGTGGTAAATCTGCAGGTTTCCTTGCCCATACTGGACCCAATACCATGAAAATTCATGGGATCCAGAGTCAATGTTGAGAGCTTCCAGGGTAATACCCTCTCAGACATGGTGTTAGCTCTGGTGGGTCCATCCAGCTGGTTGGACAGGACACATCCAGGGAGGCTGATGGTTGTGTCTGGACATTGTAAGATACGATTCCACGAGTATGACTACATCAGGCTGCTATTTGATTAGTCAGAGACAGATTTTGGCACTAACCCTTTATATAGGAGTTCACCGAGTCATACAGCAGGGAAACAGACCCTTCAGGCCAACTCGGCCATGCTGACCACATTTCCTAAACTGAACTAGTCCCATAGTTCCGAGGAAGGTCGCTTGATCTGAAATGTCAAATCTGATTTCTCTCCATGGATGGTGCCAGACCTGCTGAGCTTTTCCAGCAATTTGTTTTTGTTTCTGATTTACAGCATCCGCAGCTCTTTTGGTTTTTATTTAGTCCCATTTGCCTGCATTTGGCTCACATCCATCTAAATCTTTCCTGTTCGTGTGCCTGTCCAGAAGTTTTTTTTTTTTAAAAAACGTAATTGTACCAGCTTCTACCACTTCCTTTGGCAGCTCGTTTCATACACGCACCACCTTCTGCATGAAAAAGTTGCACTTTGGGTCCTTTTTAAATCTTTCCCTCTCACCTAAAACCTATGCCCTCTAGTTTTTGACTCCCATATCCTGGGGGGAAAAACCCTCGGCTATTCATGCCCCTCATGATTTGATAAACCTCTATATATTAAAAAAAAACAACCTAGCAGTACTACAAATGTGGCCTTACCAATGCCTTGTACAGCTGTTACATGACATCCCAACTCCTGTACTCAACGCTCTGACCGATGAAGCCAAGTGTGCCAAATGCATTCTTCACCACTTTGTTTACCTGGTGACACCACTTTCAAGGAACTATGTACCCTGCACTTCAGATGTCTCTGTTCAATAACACTCTAGGGCCCTCCCATTAACCATGTAAATCCTGCCCTGGTTTATCTTACCAAAATGCAACACCTCACATTTATTTGAATTAAACACCATCCTGCTCAATTCCTCAGCCCACTGGCCCAGTTGATCAAGTTCCCTTTACAACCCTTAGATAACCTTCTTCACTGTCCACTATACTAATTTTGGTGTCATCTGCAAACTTACTAACCACGCCTCCTATATTCTCGTCCAAATTCTATTATATAAATGTCAAACAATAATGGACCCAGCATTAATCCTTGTGGCATACTGCAGGTCACAGGTCTCCTCTGAACAATAACCCTCTACCCTCTGTCTGTTATCAAGAAACACTTTGTATCCGATTGGCTAGCTCTCCCACGTAATCTAATCTTACTAACCAGTCTACCACACAGTACCTTGTTAAAAGCCTTGCTAAAATCCATGTAGACAACATCTACTGCTCTGCCTTCATCCATTTTCTTGGTCACCTCTTCAAAAAAACTAATTGACAGACATGATTTCCCATGCATAAATCCATGCAGACTGTCACTAATCTGTCCTTGCCGTTCAAAATGCATGCAGGTCCTGTCTCTGAATCCCCTCTAACAACTTACCCAGCACTGACATTAGGCTCACTGGTCCGTAGATCCCCAGCTTTCCTTGCAGCCTCTCTTAAATGATGGCACAACATTAGCCACCCTCCAGTTTTCTGGCACTTCACCCATGGCTGTCGATGATAAAAATATTTCTGCTAGAGGCTCTGCAATTTCTTCCCTAGCTTCCCACAACGTCCTGGGATACACTTGATCAGGTCCCAGGGATTTATCTATCTTTTTGCTCTTTACGATCTCCAGCACCTCCTCTTCTGTAATGCGGACTCTTTTCAAGACATCACTATTTATTTCCTAGCCTCCATATCCTTTTCCACAGGAAATACTGACGCAAAATATTCATTTAGGATCTCACCCATCTCCCGTGCTTCCACACAGACAGCCTTGTTGATCTTTAAAGGGCCCTATTCTCTCCCACATTACTCTTTTGCTCTGCATCTTCTTGTTGAAGATCTTTGGATTCTCCCCTACACGTTAGGAAGGAGGGCTTTGTAGGGGTCAGTAGAGCAGGGTTCATTGTTATCATTTCCAACACTTAGGTCAATGCTAGATGGTCCAGCTGGTTTAATTTTTCTTTGGGATTTCATAGTGGTTTGATACAACAAGTGGCCATTTCAGAGGGCAGTTAGGAGTCAACCACATTGCTGTGGTTGGACCAGGTAAGGAGGACCGATTTCCTCCCCTACTACAATGGCTTCACTGTCACCATTAGACTAGATTTTAAATTCCAGATTTAATTATTAAATTCAAATTTCATCACCTGCAGTCACGGGATTTACGTCCCATTAGCCTGGGGCTCCGAATTACTACTGCAATGACATTACCACTTTGCTACTGTCGCCTCTTTACTGGGATGAAATAAGAGGACAAATAGAAGGGTGGGAATATTTCTTCAAAATCAAATTGATGGCAAAAAGAAGACAGACATGTTGCATTTTCTAAAAGCTAGGGTTTTTATTCTCAGCTTTTATACACGCTAGCATCATTCACTAATTCCTGTGCCTTAAAACAGCAAGTGGAAATGGAAAAAACAAAACAGAATGAGTTACATCACCGATACAGAAAACAAGATACAGTCAAACCGCATTAATAATAAAGTGAAAAAGCACCTAGTTTATGACTTTTATAGGGTTAAGATCCACAAAATTCCACTTCAGATTATAATTTCATATATACAGTGGATTACAAAATCTGTATCTTGTGAGAAAAAAAAAATCAAGGAATTACTCCCATGAAGTCTATAGAGGCCAGTATTCCAGAAAGCAAAATTGAAACATGCTAACTCATATGAGCTAATGTAACAATACAAACAGAAACATTTAAAGATCACGCCTTTGCATCAGATTCAGTTTGTATGGATAGGTATGGAGTGGGGCAACCAAGGGGAGGAAAAGGCATGTTCTTCATGGAGGACAGCAAGCCAAGTTTGAATCACTAAAATGTTAAAATAGATGTATATTCTGGATCAGATTACCTCCGAGGACGGGTGAGGATTTATACAGAATATTACCTATCCATTTAATCTCGAGGGTGAGCCTGCCATAAAGTTAGAGTGTACATGCTGTGTGGAATAAGATTAAATGGGCAGGTAGAGTTTATGCTAGAGTAGAATACGCAGGGATTGTGGAGTGGTATTAAAGAGTCATTTATAATTTCATGATCTGTTTTTCCTTTTGTCTAATTTATGTGTACATTACATTAACCAAATAAATTATTTCGTTATAATCAGAAGTGATTTCCACAGAAAAGGCCTTTTGGCCCACTGTCTCTGTACTGGTTCTATGAAAGACTAATTTATGCAGTGCCATTTTCATAGCTCCTCCTCATAATCCTGCACATTCTTCTTTTTCAGATAAGAATTCAATCCCTCGAATGCCTGATGGAACCCACTTCCCCACATACACAGGCAATACATTTCAGAGCCTAACTGCTCACTGTGTGAAAACATTTCTCACATCTCCATTGCTCCTTTTGCTAATTACCTTCAACCTATACTCTCTAGTTTTCAATCCTTTCACGAGTGGGAATGTTTTCTTCCTATCTAATTTGTCCAAACCTCTCATGATTTTGAATACATCTATCAAACCTTCTCTTGTCCAAGTGAAACAATGACAACCTCTCCCATCTCTCTACGTAAAATGAAGGTCCTCATCCCTGGAATCATTTTCATGAATTTTTTTGCACTTTTCTCTAATACAATCACATCTTTCCTAAAGTGCAGCACCCAGAACCCCAAAGATCTATATCACTTATTTACAACAAGACAAGCAAGGGGAGTTCCTGTACAAACCTTTTGCTGGTGTGAAAAACATTGATTAACCACTATTCCATTTCCGGTCAGTCAATTTTGGACCAATGTCTTGTCCTGTTTATTCCATGAATTATTACTTTCTCACTGTTAAATACTAGACATTAAACATTAGACAGCATCCAGATACATAGTTTTCTTGTCAGAGCTTTATTTTTCAACATGCACATTACAAAAATGCAACGAAACTAATTACGTGCTCTCCACATTAATCTATTCACTTCATAGAATTTCATAGAAATTTCTCTAGTGTGGGTGTGGAAACAGGCCATTTGGCCCAACAAGTCCACTGACTCTGTGAAGAGCATCCCACCTACCTACTGTATCCCTGCAATCCACGGCTAATCCACCTAACCTACGCATCCCGAGATGCTGGGCAATTTAGCATGGCCAATCCACCCTAACCTGCACAGCTTTGGAGTGTGGGAGGAAACCCACGCAGACATGGGGAGAATGTGCAAACTCCACATGGACAGTCGCCCGAGGCTGGAATTGAATTTGGGTCCCTGGCGCTGTGGAGCAGCAGTGCTAACCACTGAGCCACCGTGACACGACTTGTTCACTTATTCTATTTGGTTTCAGGCATCCCTGTCAGACCCTACTAAACAATAACCTCAAGCCTGTTGTGAGGCACTTTAATCTCAAAGTATCCTAACTTGCAATGGAGCCTGTTCCAATAGGGCACTTGAAAATATCCTCTATGCAGGTGTACCAATTTTAACATCTGAATAACACTGCAAAGTGAATGTGCATAACATAATATTGCCATAATTCTGCTGAAAAACCAATTTAGCACAATGATTTTAAAAAAGGTATCTTTACCCATTAAATTGATTTCTTCAAAAACATTGGTCCTGCAAAATTTGAAAAACAATCACCGTAAAAGGACCTGGTCATTGCCTCAATCTTCTGCAGCAGATTCTGTTCTACCAGCTGTTTCTAAAACTACATTGCTAAATTTATTACCATTCTCAATTTCAGATTATTAAACTTTTTAAAATACACAGGGAAATTTGAAACTTTGGATTTTTGATTAATTGCAAATACACTACAATATTTACTTAGAAAAAACTGCTTATTTGCACTACAGTGTGACTGTCAATAGATGGGGAACTATTTCAGGCTAGGAGAAATTGCATTGCTTTGAATTGTCTTGTTAATTTCAATCAAATACCACATAAAATACTACATTTCCACTTTGCATTATCTGCGATACTTAATTCAATTTTTTTGTACAAACACAAGTCATCAGTAAAATATTATGCAGATTTGCTAGGTGCTATAAAAACACATCAGCTTGTGTTAGCTACTTAAAATTAATAGATCTCAAACTCTCAGCCTACAACAACTTCTCAGTACATGAAGTCAATTTTCAGTCTTACAAACTTGTTTACTTCACTCTGGACTAAATTGAGCTGACATCTTATAGGAATCATTAATACATTGGATTTAAGCAGATTTGATTCTACCAAGTTTCCTACACTAACAAAAATTTATGTTCAATTTCATTTCCATTTTAAATACCCAAGGTCTCCAAACATTCCAACTGTTTCTTCAGCCATGTATGAACAAAATTGCCTGCCCTCCACTCAGCATCTCCACACAAAAATGCTGTTGAAATTGAGAAGCTAGCATCAACATTTCTGTTGCACCAGGCACCACAAGGAGGTAGATATTTCCCTCACTGGGAAAGACAGGAAATTTGTCTATTAAAACAGTTGGTTAGATTGGTTGGTTGGTTAAACAGCAAATCGCTCTTATTTTGCAGTTTGTACAGGAAAATGCAAAAAAAAAGTGAACAGAAATCTTAGCTCAAAAGTTCACAATTGACAAAATTAACCCTTTTTGTGACAAACAGCCGCCTGCATAACTTGGCATTTGAGAATCTTCTTTCCTAAGCTGACAGGCATTTAAAACTCAGTTGAATTTACGAGAGACATATCCACTGTGTTCAGGAGTGCGTTCAGCTCAAACTCCGAAGGTACCGGAATGTTTTCCATACTAAGAGAGAGGGAAAGAAAACGGACAGTCAGGATTTGACATTACTGCTTCTAGAAGTGGAGTCATGTAGTATTCCAACTATATGCTGTATGTACTATTGAAGTTAATACTCTAGCTTTACTAAGATATGTAAAGTTTATTGCATCAATTTGTCGTACAGAACCCCAAACATATGTGGCACTATACAATAATAGGGTTAGGGCTGAGTTTCAGCTGACAGCTTAGGTCGAAGTTGAGTGAGAGATGTTCAACATGCTTATTGATTTTGAACAATGTAGTTGCTAATAATTTATGGACAGGTGGCTAATGGGGTTAGAGGACCTATGTCAACAACTTGATGTTTGACTGCCTTCACATGGGCATGTTGTGCAGGTGGAGGGATGGGTGGACTGAGCCTTCAGAATGCAGACTACTCCACTAATTGGTACTTCTTCAGCTGCAGGTAGAACCCATGCATTATCTTTTCATGGGGAGGTGATGGCCTAGTGGTATTATCGCTGGACTGTTAATCCAGAGACCCAGATAATATTCTGGGGACCCAGGTTTGAATCTCACCATGGCAGATGGTGGAATTGGAATTCAATGAATATTTGGAATTAAGAATCTAGTGATGACCATGAATCCATTGCCGATTATCAGGAAAAACCCACCTGGTTCACTAATGTGCTTTTAGGGAAGGAACCTGCCATCCTTACCTGGTCTGGCCTACACATAACTCCAGACCCATAGCAATGTGGTTGACTCTTAACTACCCTTTGGGCAATTAGGGATGGGCAATAAATGCTGGCCTACCCAGCAATGCCCTCATCTTGTGAATGAATAAAGAGAAAAAAAAGTTTCCCCAACTGTTATAGAAGAGACTAGTTTCTTGTCACCCCAGCAGTGGGAACCAGTCTAACCTATCAGCTGTATAAATCCTAACGTTTTAGCTGAACTAGACATGGAACTGTCTTTATTTTTAGTATGAAAAATTGCATTTGCACAATGCAGTATATTTCAGAAACATCTGAAAATGCTTCATACATCATAATTTATATAGTGCAGTTACTGTTTATGGGCAGACATGACAACTACTTTGCACATAGCAAAATACTACAAACACACAAGGATGAATAAGTTATTTGTGATCGGATCAAGGAAGGGCTAAGACACCAGTACAAAACCGAAAACAAAAAAGCTATAAAATCAGATACAAGTATTCCTGAGTACTGCATTGAAGAGTCAGCCTAACATTCAGAATAGCGAGAGACTTGGAGGAGGAGCTTGCAGGTGGTCGTGCTCCCATGAATTTTCTGAACCTTGTCCTTTGAGATGGCAGAGGTCTGGTAGGTATTGTCAAAGGAGCATTGGCAAGTTCCTGTGGTGCATCTTGTAGATTGTGCAACCAATGCCAGCTGCTGGTGGAGCGAGTTCAAGTTTAAGGTGGTGAAAGAGGGAACTTTACCTGCAACAAAAGGGATCTAAATATGTTGATCTGGCTCACCCTCTTACAAACTGCTGATCATCGTCAAAATTCATGTCCAAGTCATTCTCACTTCCAAATGAGTTAACGAGATGGCTGCTTTTCCAAAAGAAAGACAAATTATTAGTTAGGTCACATAATATGTTTGTCTTGCTACATGACTCTGAACTCCAAGAACCTGGAGTATGAAAGCAAAGCTTTAAGGGGTCTAACTCCTTACTTAATCTTCAAAATACTGTGACACTATATCAGCTATGGGCTAATGCTGTGATTACCCACACAGAGTTCATGATCTTGGATGTTCAATTCAGAGGAGGGATTAACAGAAGTTAGATATTAAAATATCTCGAGCTGCACAGATCTTAAAGCAGTGAAAGAGAAGCACTGGCTTTTTCTTCCTTAGGAAGTAACAATACTTAAATAAGACAGACATGCTGTCCAAACATTTTGTCGGACTCATCAGGCCAGATGCAAGAAGAAACAATTTACACTCGGTAAGAAGAGGTATGATTAATTGGCAAGTTGACTCCAATTAGTTAAGGCACTGCCATTGGCAGTCTCCCAAGCTTTTTATTTGGAAAAGCCTCCATGCCAGGACATGTTCTTTCTGTTTTCTAAGGACAGAGCCCTGCATGTAAATATATGTAGCAACTACAAGCGAGCTGCATTGCAAGCCCAACTGATGATCTAAATTTGGCTGTGTTAGTACAACCAAGTGCGTTTGGGATTATTTACTAAGTGCTGTCCAACTGCAGAATCACATGTAATGTTGGATACCAAATTTAAGTGTGCAAGCATGGTTAGGTTCATATGCACAGTAATGATTGCTCCCTTTGAAATTTGGTATTTTTGTGATTCTGTCCTGACAACAAGACAAAAAGCTCCATTAACGTCTCTTTTTTCAACAACACTAATTCTGTACTTCCAAGTGACTACTAATAATACTTTGTATAAATCGATCCATACAAATCAGGAGTGTTTCAGGATTCTTACTTGTTAGTTGATCAACAAAAATTGAACACCAACACTGGAGCATTGAAGGAGACCAAGGTTATTAGAAGATCAGAAAAGCCCCAAGGTAGTTAGCTACTATCTTCGTATGCAAAGGAAAGGGCATGCAATTGGAGGGACAGTTGTCCTTAAGCAAGACATCTTCCTTCACCTACAGAAATCCAGTTGAGTTGCACAGAAGGAAATGGAATTCGAGTTAGAGAGAAACAGCCTCGTTGCCCATATCAAGTAAGACTCAGGAAAATTCAGCTCAACACACTCCATTAACATCAGAACAGTTACACTGTGTGAAAAACCCAACTCTAATATTTCCCCAAACCAAAGTCTTCAGAAACAGGACTGACCCCTGAATTGCATTCGTAAAATCGTCATCCTGGTTTGTTGGTAACATCATATTAGGAGGTAATGAAATTGAAGAGTTAACTGCAGCATCACCCCTGTTAGAAGATGACGACAAAAGAATTGTATTTTAATCCAGCACTGATTTAAATTAAAGCTTAAAAAGTAGATAGTTTAAAAGCAAAAGGCTGCTGTTAAATAGAAACAATCCTCTGCTGGACAACCACACATAACTACATATTGTAATGGGAGATCCTGCACTTTTATAAGTTATCACCTAATGTGGTCTGAAAGAATGCCTGAGACCTAAGAAGTGAGAGAACACGTGCTGGATATATGAGTTAAAATTAATTGGGGAAGAAAAGTAAAAGGTAAAATCATCATGGTCCTACCAGACCATAGGGCTTCTCTCTCATTAGAAGGGAGGTGACAGGAGAGGTTCAGAAGGCAGGACCTTCTTGGTAACCTCAGGCAGTGTAGGAATTGAACCCACGATATAGGTGGTTCTCTGCATCACTGACCAGCCCTCCGATTGGGTGTTAAATGTGGGGAGCTAGAAACTAGTAGGAAGAGAGTTTTATGGAATGTGGCTAACTGAAGTGAAGTGCTCAGTGAATTCTGTTTAAATAGTTATTTTTTGGAGTATAACATTATACCATATATTGCACTTCTACCAAAAGTGATGTGACTTTCTGCAATTTGTTCATCTTTCAAATTTGGAACACTTACAACAACACTGGCAAATGTGTAGGTGGGGCTAGATTTAATGGGGCACTAAAGACTATCCACCTCCCTTCCCCTCAGTGACTAAGAGATGCTAGGGATGGTGGAAACAGGGGAAAGAACAATTGCCATGCAGCATTTACTGGTCAAGTGATTGTTAATAGACTGCAGGCAGGGCAGCTATCTCCTCAGATAAATCCTAGAAATGATGGAAAGGTAACAGACGCCAGTGCAAGTGAGGACAGAAAATTACTTTGAGTGAAAGGAAGAGAACTAGTACAAAGAAAGTGAAGAGAATTAGCGAAAAAAAGAGGAAAGAATTGCTAATTAAGAAAAACATGTATGCTGAGAATGGACATTCAACTAAATTTGATAACACCAGTTCTTAAAACAACTTCTACACTTACTTATCATAGCTGATGTTACTTGGATTGCATGGAACCTGTGGCCACCCTGGCATTTCAGGCATTGTACACGCCACACAAGACTGCGACACTGGTGAGGGGACCATGGGTTGCGCCACCACTTGTGTTTGTTCACTGACATAAAATGTAAAAACAAATGATCATTCAGCATAGTGTTTGTCTGGTGGCACAGGAAAGGCTCATGCACAAGAAAATGGCAAGTAGGTTATAGTGAGACTCAAGGGATGACATGAATCAAGTCATGCTGTTGACTACACCCATTGCAGGCTAGAACAAATGAACAACTTTGGAGTGATTATGAGGCAGTAATTTCAATGAAGAGTTCAGATGATGCTATTAATAGTTATTTATAACAGTTACTTAACACTGCAGGTTAAATCACAGATTTGAACCGTTTCTTACACAGAAATGTGTGGAGTCAGGCAGTCGAAACGTTTACAATAGTTAAAAGATTCAATAAGGTAGATTGGGAGAAGTGATCGCCTTTGGTGGTCCAGACCAAGGGAGCATAATTTTAAAATTAACAGCTAGGGTGCTCAAGATTGATGTCAGGAAACATCTTTTCACACAAAGGGTAATGAAGATTTGGAACTGTCTTGCTTAAAAAAAAACTGCAAATACTGGTGGGAGCGAGTGCGTGAGAGATGAGTTGTGGGGGTGAAGTGAACAGGTAGAGCATATGAAATTGAGGTTCATATCAACTGTGATCTAATTGAGTTGCAGAACAGGCACAATGGTCTTCTCCTGGGAGGCAAGGCAACAATAGCAGCTAAGATCTAAGATGTTGGAAGTGGAAAAATTAAAACTCAATCATTCCCTGCCAATTGGATGGCTAAGCATGGCAATGAAGTACAGACAGCAACTATGGAGAAGAAGTGTTGACAGTAAATGGCAGGATTCAATGTGTCAAAAGCTGCAGAGTGTTCATGGGACGGCAGGAACATAGTCACAATTACAGAATATTGTTGGTAATTTTGCTTAAAAGTTTTTTGATGATATGGTAAGGAGCTGAAAACCAATGAAAGATTTAAATGTGCATTTGGGGAGCTGACAACATATGCAAAGACTTTAGAGGCAAAAAAGGACATTGGTGATGTGGCATAATTTGCTCGGACAGAAATGGTTGAGAATGGGATTTTGACTGGTGGTAGTGACAACAGTTTGGAAAAAGGGAAGGATATAGCATGCAAGTAAAAGAACAGAGTTACGATATCAGTTAGCATGATAGACAGGCTTGTTGGGCTGAATGGTCTACTCCTGTTCCTATCAGAGTGAACTACTAGGATGACAGATATGAAGACCTTTATTTAAAAATTAGAGGCAAAGTCAAAGATTAAGATGACAGAGTGGTTTAGCAAATGGACAGCTGCAACAGGATCACAGGACAAAGGAAGGCAAAAAGATTAGGCTGTTATTAGTGGTTTAGGGGACAAACAGGAAGTACATGGATGTAAGTGATGAGGGATATTAGGAAGTGGTTAGAAATGCCCTGGTCAGTGACTGATACCTTCAGAAGTTAAAGGATTCAGAAGATGGCTGTCAACATGAGTAAGAGAGTCAGAGGAGGCAGATATTTGCTGGATGTCAGTTAGGAGATGGAAACGGGAAGTGTACTTATAATTCCGCAGCATACCCGAGGCTCCCTGTCATGAGTGCACATTTAGATCATTGGCCTTCTAGTCTGTACGTATTTTCTGCCCAGGTATACTTCACTCACTAAAATTAGCAAAAGTCAAAAAAATTAGGCCTCACGTGGTTGTCTTCACTTACCCATTCACTGTAGTTTTTACTCCAGCATGGAGATACCCATCTTTTCCCTTCACTTCCTCTGCGGAAAATAAAACAAAAACAAGATGCTTTGCTAGTTTATCCTGAATATATTCAGCAACAAAACCCAAGAGTCTTTCAAAGATTTTTCTTTAACTATCGATCACTCAAGTGTTAAACTAGACACCACCAAGTCAAGTAGGGATGATATTCATACACTTGACTCTGAATTTCTTAAGTGCAATTTAAAATCATACAAATTAATTTTGGAACATAGGAGCCTGAGTAGCCCACTCAGCCCCATGCACATTCTGTAATTCAATTTTGAATAAGGCTGATCTGTATTTCAACTCCATTTACTTGCCTAGGCACTAAATTCCTCAACATTTTTGTCCTTACAAAAAAACAAAAAAATTCTCCAAACAATTGGCAACATCGATTATAGTCATGACTGCCATCTCCCATCGCTGCTGATGCAATTATAAGCCACACTCTTGCTCCTAATTCATATGTTCACATTAATGTAACCCAGTGCAGGCACAAGAATACTTAAATCTTTAGTCAGAAGAAATAATTACACAATAAAGAACTGGGAGGGAAATCAACTATTTGTCACCATACACATAGGCCCAGCAATGGCAGACATTTTCATTCATTTTGTATGGAGCTCTTTTCTGAAAGAAAATGATGTATAACCTATTTTTGTAAATCAGTGGAAGTTGGTTGACTACTGATTTACACTCAGCACACTGCAAGTGGAGACTGAATCAATTGCTTTGGAAATTTAGGACTCACTTTTCAAGCACTTGCCCTATTTCTACTGGAAAATGGGACAGGAAGCAAATATACTTCAAGAAACAAACGTTACTATTGGGCACCTGAGGCACCTCACCTGACCCTCGACTTAATTTGAGTAGGCCTTGAAATGAGTGGCCTGACAAATTGGCAGGAGCTTTACTTCAATAATTAAATTGGCGTCACAAGCCCACGTCAACATACATGCGCTATGTTTGCTCTGCCTGTTGCTCCTATACAATTTGGATTGACTTAAAGAACGCCCTTAAAAAGGGACCACTGCAGATTTTGCCAAATTCATGCCAGGATTTATTTTTGCTCCCCCTTCCACTTCCTCAAAGAACTGAATTATCAGCCAATGTGGTGCAGGGGCTTGCTGTTTTTCCACCCTCCCTAACCAGCAAGAACATCCGATTAGCATGTAGCCAGTGGGAGTGCCAAATCAGGTCTTGCCTTGAAACTCTCACAGAATAACCATGGACTAGGAAAAGTAGGCCGTTCAGCCTCTCAGATCTGTTGTGTTATTTCGTAAGATTTAGTTGACTGGTCTAATTAGAGCCATAAATTCAAATTCCCACCTACCTGTAAGAAATAGGAACAGGAGTAGGCTGTTCAGCCCTCCTCCATTCAACAGGATTGTGGCTGATCCGACAGTTCTCACATCCACTTTCCTGCCCTTTCCCCAGAACGCTCGATTCCCCAAACAATCAGTAATCTCGCCCAGCCTTAAATATACAAAAGGACTCTTCCCCCACAGCTCTCTGTGGCAAGAAGATCCAAAGACTCAATGCGGAAGAAATTCCTCCTTGTCTCAGTCTTAAATTGGCTCCCCTTTATTCGGAGACTGTGCCCTCTGGTCCTAGACTCTCCAATGAGGGAGAACATCCTCTCAGCATTGACCCTGTCAAGCCCCTTAAGAATCCTCTATGCTACAATGAGATCACCTTTCACACTCCCGATAATCTTTCGCACCTTTGTTTACCTTGCGCCTTAAAAGCGGATTTACTCTTAAATTTGTACTCTTCATTCCCTCCTGTCACAGGGTCTGTTTATCATTTCCTGTAATAATACCTTTCTGTTTTGTCTCATCTCTAACCCTTTGATTTACCACATCTTCCAAAATTTGATCCCTTGCTCCCACTACTTAGTTTAAAATCTTCTGTGATAAGACTTGCAAAGAACACATGCTCAGCTCAGTTCAAATAGAGACTGTCCCAGTGATCCCAAGTACTGGTGCCAGCACCCAAGAACCAGAGCTACTACTGCCACACTAGCTACACATTAATCTCAGAAGCAGGCATGTCTTATTGCAGTTATACAGGGTATTGGTGACACCACACCAAGAGTATTAGGTGCAGTTTTGGTCTCCCTACCTAAGAAAGAGTATGCTTGCCAAAGACAGTATACAGTAGGAGGTTCACTGGGCTGATCCAAGGGATGGTAGGATTGTCCTATGAAGAGAGATTTGCTTTACTTGACCTGTATTCATTACAGTTTAGTAGGATGCGAGGGGATCTGATTGAAATGTATAAAATTCTAATAGGGCTGACAGATTAGATGCAGGGAAGATGTTAACCCGTGGTTGGGGAGTCTAGAATCAGGGTACACCCAGTCTCAGGATACAAGGTAGGCCATTTAGGACTGAGATGAGGAAACATTTCTTCACTCAGAAGGTGGCCAACCTGCAGGATTTGCTACCACACAAGGCTGTGATGGGTCACAGTACATTCAAGAAAGAGACTGATCAATTTTTAAGATATTAAAAGGCATCAAGAGAATGGAGAGAAAGCAGAAATATTGCATTGAGAGGGGGGATTGGCAAATGTTATTGAACGGTGGAGCAGGCACAAAAGGGCCAAATGGCCTAGTCTTGCTCTTTGCTTCTAGTTTCCATGACCATAATTAGATTTGCACATGGCTCAGGTGACAACACAGAAAATTCAGATTAAGACCTTTGAGATTCTTAATTTGGTTCTTAGCCTCTCATACGAACTATGTAGAATATCGTTCTTTGTCCTGCCGATGTCATTGGTACCTACATGGACCACAATGACGAAATCTTCCCCTCCCACTCCAAGTTTCTCTCCAGCCCTGAGCAGATATCCTGAAGCCTGGCACTGGGCAGCAACACAACCATTTGGACCCATGCTATTTACTGCTGAGAATGACATCAATCACTGACTATATTGTCCCTAAATGCACCCCTTAAATGCTTCTATACCACTGTGCCATTGTCAGTTAGTTCATCTACTGTGCAATCCCCATACTCATTCAAATGGGCTGAAAAGAGCTTTGAAAGTGTTGGACAATTGCAAAGACACAGATCCTGCATTCATATCCTCTGGGTCCCCTTATTTGTCTCACTCAGTCCCTCTCCTACCCCTTGGACACTGACCAAATCAGAAAACCCTATGTTAACAGTTGCAACTGCCTCCCGTTACAAAGAATCTAGGTAACTCTCTCTCCCTGACATAGTGCTTATATTCAGCCTCCAATTCAAATGGAGCTAAAACTGCTCAAACTTTAAACATTTCCTGTAGACGTGTTTGTCTCGGATCAAACTGATATCCAGGAGTTCCTGCATGCTGCAGCTATGAAGCGTCACTTTGTCCTACTATCCTGTGTTCTAACTAGCTACTTCATTACTGTGTTTCATTATATATTTAAGATCTAAAAAAAAACTCACCACTAATTCCATATTTTGAACCTTAGGAATAGAAGAAATCTTAGTCACTTACCAGATAACATTGCCTCTAGTACTTCAAGAACCAATTCCTGAAGGTCAATATTGTTAGAAAAAGTAAAAGCAAAGGAACACATCTTTCCCTTCTTCCCCCAACCCTCATCACTGTATTTCTAGTCACACTCCAGTATTAAGTTGGCTAGTTTCATACACTCCTAACATTAACAGCCTACCTGACCCAGTTAGAGGGGAACTGGCTTTAGCTTCTTTAACTAATTCCAACTTCCTATCAGAGTACACTTTGTTAAAATGAGGCTCTTGTGGTGCAGTGGTAATGTCTCTAACTCGGAGGCAGGAGACCTGGTTCAAGTTCCACCTGCTCTGGGAGGTGTGCAAGAACATCACCCAACAGGTTGGTTAGAAAATATCGACACCTTGTTAAAATCTTGCTCAAGGCTGGGAACTTTTCAATTTGAACTGCAAATTTCACAGTTCAGACTTGTACAAAAGATTAAAAATCCTCTTACCACCAACGGCCAGTGTTCAGTTCTGCAAATGAGACTGCAACTCCTGTTGCCACCCAATTAATGCATCAAACAAAAATTGCCCCCTTAAAATTTAATAGCAAAAACGTAACTACCATCAGATTTTTGTTAAACAGCACTTTGAACAATGTAGAGCAGGAGGTGCTAAGTTTGCTGCAAGCTGTGCATTGTTCTCCCATCAATAATATCAAAGCAACCCTCATTACCCTGCAGTATAACCACACTAAACTAATTAGTGATTTGCAACCCAACTGTACACAGCTTAACATAAGATTCTTAACAACAACAAAACAAAGTTGCTGGAAAAGCTCAGCAGGTCTGGCAGCATCTGTGAAGGAGAAAACAGAGTTAACGTTTCGGGTCCGGTGACCCTTCCTCAAAACTCAGAATAAGATTCTTAATACCTACTTGTGTAGTACTTTTTGAAGGCTTCATCTTTGGGTCTGCTGGGATACAGATAAAGCAGACGTTCAATATCTCGGACACGATCTCCCAGCGATCGAATAGTTAAATCCTTTGTAGTGAAAGGCTGAACATTGTACACCTGTCTGCCACCTAAAACAAAAGGACACAAACAAACAAACAGTCAGGCCAAAGCAACACATAAATCGGATGGGGAAATTTTCCACGCTGTTGTCTGTACAGTTCAACACTTGAATTGCACGATCAACAAATAGTCAAAACAAAGACAAAAAAGGTTTTGATTGAAACATCTCAGCAATTTGGACCACATAATACTGCTGCTTCGCTTATCTTTAAGGAAGTACACCAATCAGCAATATAAATACAAATCAATCAAAAAAAAACGAAGGAGCCTGAAGCTAAACAAAAAATTCGTAACTAATTCAAAAATATTTTTTGCATGGGTCTTCACTTCCTAGCACTATGCATGGAGACACCTCATCTGAAGGTAAACTGGATAATCTTGAGTCACTTAAACGTTTCCATGATAGCACAAAGCTATATTTTGAACATTCAAATACAGATAGGCCTTATAACATTGAGGTTGTTGACTTGCTTGCCGAGCTGGCTTGTTTTCATTCAGACGTTTCGTCACCATGCTAGGTAACATCGTCAGTGAGGCCTCCGTTGAAGCAATGTTGTTCTGTTCCGCTTGGAATTTATACTGTCTGGTCCGTTGTGGTGAGTAGTGTCATTTCCAGTTTTGTTCTGTATGGGTTTGTATATGGAGTCCAATTCTACGTGTTTGTTGATTGCATTCCATGCCTCTAGGAATTCCCACAATGCAATCAACAAACACTGGGTCCAATTCTACGTGTTTGTTGATTGTATTATGGGAATTCCTAGAGGCATGGTTCTCAACCCATAATGCAATCAACACACACAGAATTGGACCCCATATACAAACCCATATAGAACAAAAACCGGAAATGACACTACTCACCATAATAGACCAAACAGTATAAATTCCAAGCAGAGCAGAACAACATTGCTTCAACGGAGGCCTCACTGACGATGTTACCTAGCATGGTGACGAAACGTCTGAATGAAAACAAGCCAGCTCGGGAAGCAAGTCAACAACCTCACCCACAACTTGAGCTATAAATCTTTGCTAAAACCTCATAACATTGTCCCATTTAACAGGATTCTGCTTTAACATTAAAATTAATGGGGCCTGCAATTTCAAACATCACAAGATTCATTTTGATGTTTCCTTCATGATCTGCCAAACCCGCATCAAAGTTTCAACCACTGAGTGCACCAAACACAAAGTGTTTCTCCTGTCAGTAAGCAGTTGCACCACGATGATTGCAAAGCGGCTTCTTCAACCCTAGAGCCTATGGGGCTCAATATCTCTGTACATAACAAGGATCCAGCTGCATGAGGCTTAAAGCAGCTTCCCTGATCTGATGCCAGAATTCCAATGTGATTGAAAATCAGCCATAAGAGCCAGGAGCAGTTTTGTCAGCTTAAAAGAAAGAATGGGGATTGTAAAAGTCCCAGCACTTCTGCAGCACCAGAATTCACATTCAACAATTAAAGGAATGGATGTGCTACTGGGGAAGAATTCCAGCAAATCACTGGTTGGCTGAAGGAGCAGCAATTGATAGCCATTGATATAGGAAATAGGAAAATACGCTGGCAATGGAGAAGAAAGGGTTCACGTAATTCAGCAAGGATCGAGGTGATGGGGATGTGAGTAGTGACATTTGAGCTCAGTGCTCTATAAAAAAAGTGTAAGCAGGATGCACTCTAAGTATAGTTAAATTTTCTCTTGTATATTTTAAATTTCTTTTACCTTCAAGGTTATTTCATTCTGCCAAGCATTTCAACTTACTCAGCTGAGTGTTAGAATTTTTTTTCCTGAAATGACCTACAAAATCCAATTCCAGCTTCCATGCCAACTCCCATGGAAACTGTTGATTCACTTAAGTTATCATTTTCAGGAATGGAACCACTAAGTGAGGAACACCTGTACTTACATCCTCAATGTAAACTGGGAACATTCATTTCTACAGTGCTTCACAATTAGGGAAAATGACTGAAGGCTTTATTGGAAATGTAGCTTTTAAGATTATTTCTGAAGGTGGAGAGATGTAGCCAGGATGAACAGCAAGCTAATATGCATTTAAGTTCGACCACCAATGGTAGAATGGAGAGAAACAGATACACACAAAGTTGGAACAACAGAGAAATGGGTCTAGAAAAGGTTGAAGAGGTAGCGATGGGGATGGAGACCATGGAGAGTTCAAATATGGGAAGTTTGAAACTGATGCAGACACACTGGGTGTCAATTGAGGATGCAGGGACTAGAGGGCTCTTTTCAGTTCGGTCTCCAGTTTAACACAACACCACTCAAACATTCTGTACTTTTTTTTGTTATAGAGGTCCATGTTCTTTCTGGATTTCTCAGACTTGTAATTTAATTTCAAAATGTCCCAATTATCTCAATCATAAGCAGTCCCAGTGTACTTTGACTTGCAGTATATTGAATAGGGGACCCAAAATTATAAATGATTGGGCCCTCTTGTGGTGCAGTGGTAGTGTCCCTACCCCTGGACTGAGACACCTGGGTTCAATCCCACCTGCTCCAGAGATGTGCAATGACGTCTTGGAACAGGTCGATTAGAAAAATAGGTGGAGTTAAAAAAAAATTGGGTAAATATATCCAAAAGGTTATTCAATAGATACAGATTTATAATTTTTAAGATAGAAGTGGTGTAAGAAGCAGAAAAATTGATACCTTTCTCAGAGTCATCAATCCATGCTATTGTAATGCCTCCAATCTCAGAATCACTAAAGCGCAGCAAAAAGGTCCCATTTACTCGTTGATTAAGCAGTCTGTTGGCATACTGCTTACTTACAAAACCGAGGATTAATCTGCAAATAAAAGGTAAGTATAGTGAATGCACTTTTCAGCAAATCCCTTCCCAGGGATCACAGTAAGGGTACGAAGTCAAGTAGGTAAATCCTTCAGTACGTTGTATCCGTACTAGTTTGCAACATTGTATGCAGATAGAAAAATTCCACTTCCACATTCACATTGTCCTAACTGTCAATGCTTAAACATTTTGAATATCAGCAGCTGAACCAGGTACATTTATCATTAACATCCAAAGTTAGTCTGAATCTTTATTAGCAGAATTTTATTAGTTACAATATCACCATCTCTCTGCAATATTAAATCATGTCCAATTCATTGTGTTTTCACAATTATATACTTCAATAACAAGAAAATAACTGGCTGACCCTGATTATATGACAATCTGGCCCAATGTAACACTTATTTTTTGATTAGTAGAGAAACAGAATGAGACTCAAAATGTATTTCTTCACCTCTGAGGGATTTGGTCTTGATTACCAATACAGAGAATATGTTCCAACCAATTATCATTTTATCTAAAGATGGCATTTGTATGTTAAAGTTCTACTAGTTTAATGCTGCCCACTTACAGTCATGGAATTGGAATGAGGTTTTATTTTGAGGGATTGTTTCTCTGAACTATGTCATCATTGCCCATCAACATCACTTCATGTGCATTGTGTGTCAATGTACATGCAAGTCATTTGATGTCAGGACATATCAGCACCACGTTGTGGAAGAACTTTAAGCATGCACCAAAGACAGAGCTAGTGGGACAGACAGAGCTGAGTTTCAGGAGTGATGTGGGCGAGAGAGTATTATGTAATTTAATTAATGCATTTGTTATATTTGGCAATTTATTTATTTTTGCAAGTTATTTCAGCTAGTAATGCAGCATTACCCAACATGATCCAGTATTTCATCTAAACTAGTTTTGCCAAGCAAGAAAGTATCAGCTGAAACCCAACACTAGCTTAACATCAATTCCTATGGGAACCCATGATCCACTTAAAAACAGGATTCTCAGGAACACAACTGCAACTTTAAGTGAGGACAACCTATATTTGAACAAAGATGTTTGAGGCCAACACCACAAAATTAGCATCTACTAGTCCATCTGCACACAGACGAACTGCTCAAATCAACTAATATCAACTAAAATTCCTACCCATTATTCCAGTAATCCTTCAGGTGTTTCTTTGTGAGCTCCATCACACCATCAAACCATTGCCAAAATGTAAAGGTTCTTCCGGGGAGATTTTCCTGGAAGAATTAAAAACGGAGTCATAGTCATTGGGAAAAAAAAAACTAGACACATTAGGATAATAAACTTGGGGCATGGATATTTTCCTGTAATTCATCAAGATCCACTCCAGGCTACTTGTCACGTACTTCTAAGTTTCACAATGCTGCTGCTTGGAAGCAGATCACCTACTGGCCCTGTAGGGCACGAAGGGGTTTTGGGGCCTGGGGTATCTAAAGGACCAGTTTTATCTCAGGGAAGAAATTTAGCAGATGGGGGCAAAGTGGGTGATTCTCCTGGCACAGAAGAAGCAAGCCAAAGACCTCAGCCTGGATCCTTGCTGCAAGTGTTTGTTTCAAGCCAGCAACAGAGTGGCCTGTGGTTGGGGCCCGCAGTCAAAATGCCATAGTCATGTCTAAGATGTTACTGAGATGTGACCCTACTACTTAAATTCAAGCACTCCTCTGGTTCAGGTAGCCTTCTTGTGGCTGAAGACATAACTAAAAATGGTGGTGGGATTGCAGAGCAAACCCCCACCTGTCATTTTATCCCATCTTCCTCCTGTCTTTAGGGCGGTTAAAATTTCCCCGTGAACTGATTCAGGATACCAGACAGAGAGAGACTGAGAAATGAATAAATGAAATATAGTCATTTAATGTAGCAATCCATATCGTACTACTCTAGACACAGGGCTGCCGCATAACAACTCAGACTTTAGAGAAGTTATTGTTACCTTGTTAAACTGAGACCAAGAGACCATACGGTTGGTGAAGTCCTCCATGCCATAGCTCTGCTCATCAAAGATTTTCTGTGCCAGGAAGACAAAATGCTCTTTGCACAAGCCCTGTGTTGACTGTACCTCTGCCATAAACTTCATATTGAGGGTTTCGCACATTTGAGACCATGACACTCTATCTGGTACGTGGAATGGCAATCTTTCCTGCAAGACAAAAAGAACACTACATTCTAGATCAAAAGGCAGACTACCGTGGATGATGGAAATTGAAAAGAAGAAGAAAAAAAAAAAATAGAAAATGCTGGAAATACCCAGAAGGTTATGGAAGCAGCTGTGAACAGAAACCAAATTAAATGTTTCAGGCTGTGACTTTACATCAAAACAAAGAGACACTGGAAATAGTAGGTTTTGCTCAAAGGGTGGCTAGACAAGAACAGAAGGTTTGTGATAGGGTGAAAGACAGGAGATAGCAGAAGCAGCTTCAGGAACTGACCAGGCTTGCAATGTTAAACCTAACACCACCTTGCAGCATGACTCCGTGACAATGCCACAAATTGCATTTGATAGCTACTTTTAAAAAAGTCTTAAAAGGTGCAAGCAGAATACTGTCCAAGTCAAACATACTTACTATTTCAGAGAATGCATTGTCCCACAAAATTGTAGCAGTAGCATTGTTGTCTTGACTGCCGTGAACAATCACGACAATAGGCAATGATATAGCCTGCAACATAACAAGAAACATTTTACTGAACTTTATTTGGTCACAGGAAAGGTCTCAACTCACTCCCATATCTTGATATGGATATAGAATCTAGATCCCAATCATAATGGAATTTTAACTCCTGAGCCCCATTTAGACTCCTCCGGACTGCCTTTTGCCCAAAAGCCAGATGGGTTGATACAAGGGCCAGTAAAAAGAAGAAGAAAATGCACCAATGCCAACAGGATCCAAATCAAGGTAGTAAGCGAGCCAAGTAGGGATGGGTTGCTCACCCTCTCCTTACTGTGGCAAGTGGAGAAGGACATCTGTGTGCTACCTTCCCTTACATTTACATTGCTAAAATCTGCTCCCTTATTCCAATAACAGAATTATACGTAAAAAAGTTGGGAAAGATCACAGCCTAAAGGCCTTGCTGCCAAAATTTAATAAGTGTCTGCTAAGTTTTGAGATACCATCAAAGTCTCAGTAGGAATTCAAATAATTTCTTTTCATTATTAGAAAATGATTTTCTGTTGCAATGGATCAAAGCTCTAAAATGAGGAATGTCAAAATTCCATTATTTTCTGCAAAGTCTGTACGGACCTGTTTTGTACTTTTACGTACTTGTAGATAATATACTTGGGGAATAAAAAAAGAGAGAATCTTCTGCTATTCAGGAAAGCCGCCTGGAGTACCCTGACAACCATCTTTCAGGGAGGGTGGGATGCAGTGCTTCCTAGTAAGGTATTCACAGCAAATTTCTCTCTCTCTCCATATTCCCCACTGCAAAACAATTCCTTTACTCACTGATGCCTATCTGACGCCACTTGCGCTGCAGTGAGGCCGGCATCCATCAATAGGTCTCTGTTGGATGCAGTCCCAGCAGTGGCCAGTGCTTCTGCTCGGACTCAGGAATTGCTAGATTTTGTGCAGCGGAGTGGGACCTCAACACTCATTGCCAGTATTATGAGATCAAATTTAAATATCCTGTGAATACAGCTTGGAAAGGGGAAATTTAGTCGAACCAGACCCTCAATATGCTCCTGCCTTCACGGAATTATCCGTGAGTGTAATAATGAAAAGGAATGGTTATTCATCCAATTGTGGCAGATAATCAATTAAGCCCCTTGGGCTTGCTCCTAATGTAGACTGGTTTTTCCAGTTGGCACACAGGTTACTTGCTGCATAGGGAAACTAGCCATGAAGTTTGAGAGGTTGCAGAAAAAATTTACAAGGATGTTGCCAGGACTGGAGGGTTTGAGCTACAGAGAGGGCTTTGTTCCCTGAAGTGTCGGAGGCTGAGGGGTGACCTTGGAGAGATATATAAAATCATGAGGGGCATGGATAGGGTGAATAGCCAAGGTCTTTGCCCCAGGGAAGGGCAGTCCAAAACTAGACAGGTATAGGTTTAAGGTGAGAGGGGAAAGATGTAAAAAGGACCGGAGGATTAACTTTTTCATGCAGAGGGTGGTGCGTGGATGGGAACAGCTGCCAGAGGAAGTGGAGGTGGAGGTGGGTACAATTACAACATTTAAAAGTCATCTGGATAGGTACGTGAATGGGAAAGGTTTAGAGAGACATGGGCCAAATGCTGGCAAACAGGACTAGGTCAGATTGGGATGTCTGGTCAACACGGATGAGTTGGACCAAAGGGTCTGTTTCCGTGCTGTAGGTCTTTAAATAATGGTGGCCTCCCAATGACAGGTTGGATAGATGAATGGAGCCTCTGGCTGACAACATGGTAGGTGTCCCTCTAAAAATTGGCCAAAATGGCAGCATCCATTACCAAGGGTGCCCTAATCATTTTGGCCCTTCATATTTACCCTCTTTGTGGCTGGTAACTGGGAATGGAGGCCCCTCATGCCTCCCTTCACACTTCAGCAGAGCACACCATTAACAGTAGAGCTGCCATCCATAACAGGAGGATAGTCTCCCACTGGCCATAGAGACAGGAGCCCACCCGCTGTCTTAATTGGTTACTTCATTCAAAATTTCTGCTGTATTTGTACTTCACAACCTGCATGTCATCCCAAGGATGGGATCAGGGCCCAGGAACAAAATTCCTGGCTGATTTGCACCTACTTTGGCATTTGACTTCTTAAACTCCTTCCTCCATTTCAACTGAGAGATTTAATCAAAATATTTGATTACTGTACAATGCAGATGAACTGCCTTTTGAGTACTAAGGCTGGGGGCACAGCACACTGATGTGGTGAAATGTTATCCCCATGGCAAGTCTTCAAATTTCAGGCAAGTTAAGGGAAGAGAAGCAAGGTATTCAATTTGGCAACAAGTCAAATTGCACCGCCGTCACACAAGAATCTACCAATTATAGCAGTTAGAGTGGTATTTACATGGTTTAAGGCTGACGTGTTCAGGCGTCCTCTTTAACTGAATTGGTGCAGGATGTGAAGGTCTTTAAAATGACAATATATACAGGAACCAGCTTTAACACCAGAATTCTCTTGAAGCATTTCTCTGTACCACCTATGAAATAACTGTTAGTGATAAATGTTCCGATACCTGAACGTGGTATTTCATTTCACTGCCTGTGATGCTGAGTTCAGAAGAAAATAGAACAGCAAACTTTTCCTCAGTCACTGACTCAGTCCCTCTGCGGTCCGACCGTTTGATTTTCTTTAATGACTTGAATTTTGGGAAAAGAAATATACTCTGAATCAAAAGTAGATCCTTTCAAATGGGAAAGCACACTAATAGTTTAGAAAGAGAAACAGTTTTTTTAGAAGTAAAAACATACGTCAGATTATTCATAGTGTACAGCAGACTTTTTATTGTTACTTAATTTAAATTAAGGATATTACATTTTTCCCTTTCTTTTTCCCCTAAATACTCTGCTCTTCACTTTTCATCAACACCCTGTTTATTACATTATTGCAACAATGTGTCACCTCTATTTTTCCAAAGTGTTACATGGATGCAAAAGATCTCCTTCAAAAGAAAAGCAGGGAATTCTCTTGGTAATCTGGTCAACATCTCTCCCACAATCAATCAATACCATCAAAAAGCTTAACTGGTCACCTATCATTGTTTGCACTATGCCTGCATTCCAATTTCACTCACATCAATATCACTCATGCAGCAATAGAATGAATAATCAGTTATCTACACCACAACAGTTACTAATCAGAGAGTCTTACAGTACAGAAACAGACTCTTTGGCCCAAACAGTCCACACCGACCATGTTACCAAATTAACCTAGTCCCAACTGCTTATGTTTGGCTCACATCCCTCCAAACTTTTCCTATTCATGTACTTATCCAAATGTCTTTTAAACATTGTAACTGTATCTGCACACTTGGAAAAAGTAATCCATTTTCTGTCAGGTTGTTTGACATGATCTCTTTTTCAGGTGCAGTCACAAAAAAGTTAAAATTCAACATCTATGGTCAATGAATGAAACTGTACTGTATTAAATGTATGGGATTCCTCATTCAGGTTTCTTCATATGGAGCTTTCCTGATCTTAGCTTTGACATAGGAAGAGGTGCTGAGCACAAGCCAACAAACACTTTTCTTTAAAACAAGGGGCAGAAAAGAAAAATCAGGGATCAAGTTACTTGAACCATTTTCATTAACTTTCCAACTGCCACATTCACAACATTGGAAAAGATTAAAGAGGCAACTGAAAGCTTGTGTGGCCAACAAATGGTGCACAAGTCAAGGACAGCTGAGAGGAGCAGTTTAAAAAAAACAAATCTTGATGTAAAATCACAATGTTTGTTGCAACTGCCAAATACTTTTTGTACAATCATAATCAAAACCCAAAGCAACTCCATGAGAAAGTATGAAGAGTGTATTGTGCTGCTGGTACCAATTCATCATTCTCAGAAGGGCTGCAAAATGTTTAGTTGGAGATACACAGTATACAACTCTGCAACCAAATGCTTTTAAGTGAATAAAGACCAAGCTTTAGTGTTCTATCTTTCAGCTTCTGGTTACCCAAGTTCAAGAGATTACTTAACATTTGTTTTGATCTTAGACCAGTTTTGGATCTCCTTTACTGAACAAGGCATGTTTGAACAACACCAATGAAATGTATATTGCCTTGCATTTAATCACCTTAAATGACTAACATGATCAAAAACTGATTGCACAGTATTTTAAACACAGCCACATTATTATTATTAAGTTGGCTAGACAAAGGTCAAAGTGTAAGATACAGTCAAGATGGAGTCAAGTAAAAAATAAAGCAAGCCAGGAAGTAGAGAACAGATGCCATCAAGCTCGGATTTTAAAGCCTCTAGATTATTGGGGGAAAGCAAAATTACCTAGTTTTTGAAGTTCTGGAAAACAGTAATTTAGAGGAGGAAGTATATTTGGAACATAGAAGACAAGAAATTTCAGAAGAAATGAACTATAGTAGCATTGTTAAAATGCTGGGAGAATGAAATGGTTGAGAGTGAGGGAGAAAGTGAGGGGGTTGTGGTTGATTAATTTCTGACATTACTAAAGGTACTAAATTGGATTGCAGATAGATATCTTATAATTCAGTTAATAAACACAAAGGAATCTGAAACAAAAACAAAAAAAAGCATGCTGGAGAAACACAGCAGGTCTGGCAGCTTTTGTAGAGAGAAAAAAGTTAACATTGAGTCCAGTGACCAGACTGATCATGAAAACCTGAACAATAAATAAGCCTTGAACATTTCTAAGCCTCTAATGGAGCCAAGGAGTCTGGATGGATGGACAAGTACATCTATCAATATATATTATTTATATGGGCTGCAGAATCAAAAACAGTTGGGTTGAAAATAAAATAATTAACTTGCATTTCTGATTCATTGCAAAGTACGCCATGTTGCCTTTGTGATAGTGATTCAGGGTTCAGCACTGGCAAGACAGCGTTCTTTTGTTTAGTTTGTGTGTGTTTACTGACCAAAGCAGGCAGTTCAATTTGGGCTTTGTGAAGGAAAAGTAGTTGGGGGATTTGATCTGGCACATAGCTAGTGAAAGAATCCAACAGTGATTCTCACAAAGCCTTGTCAAAGCAATCAGCTTTAATAGTCTGTTTGCAAAGAGCCATACTTAGATTGTATGAGCAAACTAGAGGGACAAAAGTCTTTGCATCCATTGAGAGGGTGGATTGCTTCGCCAAAAGCTAAAGGAAGGACCTCCATGTAATTTATACCTCTATGAGTAAGGTAGAGAACTAGAAGCCGGCAGCGGGTTGGGCAAGAGATTACTTTTGCATACCGGTTAGGTACAGAGTTCAAAATCCCAGAATCACAGTCTTACAGCTTTCCTAGATGCAGACAAAAGTTTTTACTAGACTTTAGTTTTGACCAAAGTTAAGAACTGTTATGGTACAAGGAAACATTTGGCACAAAAAACAATTGACATAGCAATGAAGGGTGTGGCAGCACCTATGGAGCGGAATCAGAGTTAATATTTGGGTTCAGTGACCCTTCATCAGAACTGATGGCAGCCTGCGTGACAAGAAGCAAAGTAGTTGTGAACGGTTGTTTATAGATTGAAGGGAGATAAAGTCAATAGGAAATAGGAACAGGAGTTGGCCATCAGCCCTTTGAGCCTGCTCCACCACATCTGCTTTCCTGCCCCTTCTCTGCAACCCTCGATTCCCCTACTGATTAAGAGTCTACCTCAGCCTTAAGTGCACTCCAGGATTCTGCCCCCACAGCTGCGGCAAGGAGCTCCAAAGACTCTCAAAAGAAATTCTTCCTCTCCCCAGTCTTAAATTGGCCCCTCTTTATTCTGAGACTATTCCCCCCAGTCCTAGACTCTCCCACGAGTGTAACTTTCTCTCTGCATTTACCCAGTCAAGCCTCCTTCAATTAGATCACCGCTCATTCTTCCAAACTCCACTGCGTGGAGTCTCAATCTGTTTAACCTTTGCTTATAAGACAGTCCTCCTCCTTGCTGGAGATTATCCGAGTGAATCTTCTCTGAACAGCCTCGAATGAAGTGATCTCTTTTCTTAAAGAAGGGGACCAAAACTGCTTAGAGTACTCCAGATGTGGTCTAGACCTTGCACAGTTGCAGCAAGACTTCCCTACTCTTATACTCCAAACCCCTTGAAATAAGGGTAACATTCCAATGGCCTTAATAAAAACCAAAAGAACTACGGATGCTGTAAATCAGGAACAAGAACAGATGCTGCCAGACCTGCTGAGCTTTCCCAGCAACTTCTGTTTTTACTCCATTGACCTTCCTGATTACCTGCTGCTGTGTGCACTAGCTTTCTGTGTTTCATGCACAAGTTCCCGAGTCTCTTTGTATTGCAGCTCTCTGCAGTTTTTCTCCATTTAAATAATAGTTTTTTTTCCTGTTCCAAAGGAACAACTTCATATTTTCTTATACTCCATTTACCAATCTTTTGCTCACTCACTTACTTAATCAATATTTCTCTGTAAACTGTTTATATTCCTCTCGCAACCTGCCTTTCTGCCTATTTTTGTGAATTTGGCTACAGTGCATTTGCTTCCTTCCTCTAAGTCATTCACACATCTTGTAAATAGTTCTAGTCCCAGCACTGATCTCTGTGGAACCACACTGGTCAAAGGTCACCAATCTGACAAAGAACCTCTTATCCCCACTTGCTGTTTCCTGCCCATGAGCCAATTCTTTATCCATTCCAATATACTACCTCCAACACACTGGGCTCTTACTGCATGACAACCTTTTGTGAAGTACTTTGTTGAACATCTTCTGGATGTCCACATACAACATCTACTCGTTCCACTCTATCCACTCTGGTTGAGAATTCCTTGGAAAAATTCTAAAAACTTAGTCAAACTTCCCCTTCAGGGAAGCATGCTGACTCTGCCTGATTGGATTATGATTTTCCAAACATTCTGCTATTACTTCTTTAACAACTGATTCCAATACTTTTCAAACAATAGATGTTAGGCTAATCAGCCTACAGTTACTCACTTTTTGCCTCCCTCCCTTTTGAACAGGGGTTCAAATCGGCAGTTGTCCAATCCTCTGATACTTGGCCAGAATCCAAGGATTTTTGGAAAATTACAACCGAGGCATCCACTATCTCTGTAACCACCCCTTTTAGCATTTTAAAAAATTTATTCATGGGATGCGGCCATCATTGTCTGGACCAGCATTTATTTCCCATCATGAATTGCCCAATTGACCTAATTGCATCTTAGAGTGCAAATCATCAGGACCAGGGTATTTATTTGCCTTTAGCTCCAGGAGTTTGTTGAATATGACTTCCCCAGGTGATCGTACTTATAATTCAGTTTTTTAGTTAGCCAGAAGTTTTAATCAGGTTAGTAAGTCAGAAACTATCAAAATCTGTGACTCCAACTCAATCTGGGAACTTTTTGGAGTGTTCCAGGTACAGGGCAATTGCTCATTAGAAATCTAAACCACGTGGACAATTGCTGTGTAGGCAATTCAGGGCATGTCCAAACTTAGACTATTCAAAGACTGGAAGCTCTGGACCAATTTTTTTTAATTCTGAAAAACTAGGTCTTAGAGACCAACTGATTCCTATAGGGACCCATGTTTCACTTAAAGTGGCAATTCTGACGAACAGAACTACTAAGTTAGGTAAGGATTACCTGTATATTAATAAATTTAAACGTTGTGCCTCCAAGGCATAATTTCAAAGGTTGCAGTCAATGCCTGATGTGGAAGTACTGCAAACTGTCAAGAGGATAAGTGATAGACTTTAACGAGAACAGACACAAAATGGCAGAATGGGCGACACAAAAAATGAAATTTAATGTGCAGAGCTATATCTTGGTAGGTAAAATGAGGACAGATATTAAAGCAGATAATACTAAACAGACACAGGAACAACTAGGAACTTACGTGCACAAACACCATCAGAGAATGATAAGAAAGTGATCAAAAAGGATTACAGGATCCTGGGCTTTATTGCTTTTGTATTCTATGCCTGTCAAAGAAGCTATGTTGAACTTTTATAGAACACTAGTTCAGCCTCAACTGAAATATGCCCAATTATGGACAGCATGCTTTAGGATGTATGTGGTGATCTCAGAGTACAAAAATGATTTGAGAGAATGGTTCTAAGATGGGAGACAGCAGTTACATGGATAGATTGGAGACATTGGGAATTTTATCCTTTGAAGAGAAAGAAAAAAAACAGTTGATTTGATAGAGGTATTCAAAAATTATGAGAAGTTCACACAGAACATATACTAAGAAACCATTCCCATTGCCAGAAAAGTTGAGAACTAGATGGCACTGACGAAAAAGAAAACATTTGTAGGGTGAAAATAAAACAAACAATGGGAGAGTGGGACTAGCCAAGTTAGTCTTTGAGAAAGCAGTCACAGACACGACAAGTTAGTGTTCTCCTTCTGCACTGTATGCTGCAATATTGTATCTTATGAATTCAGGTTCTCAAACTGATAAGAATTCATGCTCTCTGGATTATTAGTCCAGACTTTTGAATTACTAATCCAGCAACATAACCACCACAGCGTAGCTGAAATACTTTTCTGCGGCTAAAATTAAGAGAGCCAAGGTGAACGTCAAGGACATCCAAATAAAAATATGCACACAAAATCCCTCTGGGATGGTAGTACTTGCTTTTAAAATTTTAACACATACCATATTCCTGAAGCTGGCACTGGTGGTTTTTGTAGCATTGCTAAACTCCAATAAGCTGGTATTGTTCATGATCTCTCCTGTGTTTTCACTGGCAGAGGGGGAGAAAGGGATATGGTAGTTTCACATTTTTGAAAATCATCAACAGCTAACATGCACAAATTAAATTCAACTTTTCAAAATGGACACAAGAAAATCCACGACCATGCCAAGACCGTACTATACCCCATGGCATGAAAGGAGTACGGAATAAATTAAAAATTCACAACAATGCTTCCTTGCCCTACCTGTTAAGAACCCACTTGGATCACTCAGGGCCTATGGATTAAGTGCTGTGCTGCCATTCTCAATGGGCCCACACATTTTAATATTAACGCACCCCAGGGCAAAGCAATGAAGGGCTTGCTGGCATCTGTGGGATTGCACCCATGGGAACTGTCATCTTCAGAAGGGCAAGGCAAAAAAACTAGTTTAAATTTCATCCCCAATTCATTTTTACATTTAATTGCAAAATCTTAAATCTGATGTACTTAACCTTAAAACTGATTTAAATTTTAGAAATTTGAGAAACTGTGGTCAAATTCCAAGATTTTTGCATCAAGTCCTGTATTAAAATGCAGCAGGTTGTCACTTTTGCTATTATTGCAAAAAAAAAAAAAAATAAATTTTAAACTTTGGTCATAATGTGATGGAAGGTGAGAGATTTATTAACACCTTTTATTTTAAAGTTTGGAGTTTGAAGTGGTGCCATGTGGGTTCTGGTTTGTGTGTATGAGGGGGATAAGAACAAAGACCAGGAGCAGGAGTAGGAAATTCAGCCCCTCAAGCCCGCTCCACCATTCAACACAATCATGGCTGATCGCATCTTGGCCTCAATTCTACTGTCTTGCCTGCTACCCATAACCCTTCACTAATAAGAAATAAAAGGGGTTACTGATTAACTTGTCAGTATTTGGGACAGAGGGAGGGACTGAGGGAATGATAATGGGAATTTGTAAGCATTAAGTGTTTTACAACTGGACAGAGCAAAACATTGAAAAACATTAGTTTACTTGCTATTTAGAAGAATCAGGATTTCATTTTGCTTGGTGGGGTTTGCGGGGAGATCCATAGCTTGGAAAGCTTTCGCTTTCAGTTTGCACAGGGTCCTGGTTGAAGTTAGATGCAAGAAACAGTTCAGAACAGTTAGGAAATAGGTCACTTCAGTGTAAGAGCTTCATTTTGAAATTCCAAATCACAAAAAAAAATATGTTTGGCATGAATCCTAAAGGAGTTATTGGAAATTGAAAAAGTCTAACTCAGTTGTGAGAATACTCAAGGAAACTATCAAACTCCCAAGACTGGGAATTGAAAGAAACAAATCAAGTCAAACCTACAGAATTTATAAAGAAGGGAATTCTCTCTAGTGTTTTGAATGGTGTAAAGTGGCAATGTTGAGAAAGAGGAGTTGTATTTTACTCTGCATTTCAAAATCTTTCAAATGGTGTTATATGTAACTAGTTTGGTTTATTCTATTATATCTTTGCTTCGTGGTACATTAAAACATAAGTTTATTATGTTAAAACCAAATCTGCAGCATTGTATGCTTGTGATTCAGTAAAAGATCAACTCAATAAAATTTGTTAAAAATATGATTTATCAAGCTGGATTTCAGTTTGGCATCTGACTCGCCTAGTAACATCAGCTGGGATCATAACAGTATCAGGTTTTATTTTCATGGATGACTCTCAGAAGTGTCAGACCTTATAAAACACAAACAGCAGAATACTCATGTATTATAAAAAGGTATGGGAGACTGGGTCTGTACTGAACAACAACAGACTGGATACATAGAGATACATGGGCACTGAATTTATTCTTACCTGTGTATGTTCCCATGCTGTCTCATAACTCTGGCCTGTTGTTCCGTAATGATTATGGCTTTCACAACAGGAGGCTTTGTTGGGGCATTTAACTTCAACCCAAGCAAAAAGCGAACAGTTGAAGAAAACTTACTTTGAGTCTTTAGTACCTGTGGAGGCTGCTTTTCCACAAGAAATGCACTGTAAAATTGTGGAAACAGGTTAAACTTAACATTTAAAACATTAAAAAAAAAAAAGCATTATTTATTATCTCTGCCAATCCCCCTGGCCCACAGACTAGCTGTGGCTCTAACCTCCGAGCAGGGTTAACTCTTTCTACCTCCACTACCCCCACCCCACCCACAGGACATGGGATTTGTGGAGTAGGATCTTTTCTGAAAGGCACAGACACGATGAGATGAATGGCCTCATTGCAAACTTCTGAATCTGCCTGGGGTGTGCGGCAGAGGAGGTGGGGAGAACAAGTTTAATAGCAACTTTCACTAACATTCAAGTGATCTGAAAATGAAGGTGCACCTGTTTATTATTTTTTACTCCATGAATATCTCATTCTTATCAGCAACAAAACATTGATCACATGCAGGTTGAGAGGCAGAAGCACTTTAACAATGGCAGTCATTTCTAACTTTTTTCTCATCACATGGAATCCTATCGAAATGGACATTCAAATGCTTGATACAGAATTTTGCAACATTCTTCCGTTCACACACTGCTCTCAATGGAAGTAAACCACTACATTTCCAAACAACTGCATTTCGTGTTGTTTCTGCACATATATTTCAAATTGTATCCAGAACAATGTAGGACAGCTAATTCACAGAAGGATCAAACCATTACTTTAAACTGTACTAGCTCAGAATTAGGCCAAACATAGAAACAGCGAAGATAGGAGCAGGAGGCAGCCCTTTGGCCCTTTGAGCCTGCTCCACCATTCTTCACAATTATGGCTGATCGTCCAACTCAATAGCCTAATCCCGCTTTCTCCCCATAACCTTTGATCCCATTCATCCCAAGGGCTATATCTAGTTGCCTCTTAAATACATTCAATATTTTGGCATCAAATACTTCCTATGGTAATGAATTCCACAGGCTCACCACTCTTTGGGTGAAGAAATGTCTCATCTCCGTACTAAATCATCTACCCTGAATCCTCATACTCTGACCCCTGGTTCTGGGCACACCCACTACCAGGAACATCCTCCCTGCATCTACCTTGTCCAGTGCTGTTAGAATTAGACTCCCCCCTTCATTTGTCTGAAGTCTAGTGAAAATAATCCTAACCCACTCAATCTCTCCTCATATGTCAGACCCACCATCCCTGGAATCAGCCTGGTAAATCTTTGCTGCACTCCCTCAAGAGCAAGAATATCCTTCCTCAGAAATGGAGGCCAAAACTGAACACGATATTCCAGGCATGGTGTCACCAAGGCCCTGTATTACTGCAAGAACACATCCCTGCTCCTGTACTTGAAACATCTTGCAATGAAGGCTAATATACCATTTGCCTTTTTTACTGCCTGCTGCGCCTGCATGCTTACCTTAAGCGACTGGTGCACAAGGACACCCAGGTCCCACTGCACACTCCCCTCTCCCAATTTACAGCCATTCAGGTGTAATCTGCCTTCTTGTTTTTGTTTTCGAAGCGAATAGCCTCACATTTATCCAAATTATACTCCATCTGCCACTGATTTGCCCACTCACCCAACCTGTTGAGATCACTCCGAAGGATCTCTGCATCCTAGTCACAGTTCATACCCCCCACCCAAAACTCCACACCAACCCTCCGAAGAGCATCCCACCCAGACCCATCCCCCTAACCCTGCATTTCCCATGGCTAATGCATCTAACCTACACATCCCCGAACACAATGGGAAATTTAGTATAGCCAATCCAACTAACTTGCACATCTTTGAACTGTGGGAGGAAACCCATGCAGACACAGGGAGAATGTGCAAACTTCACACAGTCGCCCGAGGCTGGAATCGAACTCAGGTCCCTGATGCTGTGAGGCAATGCTAACTACTGAGTCATCGTGCCGCTCAAAGCACAAACCCTATTCAACATGAAGGATTTGCCTTATATCAGGTCGTGTTAAATGTAGAAAATCAAATAGTTTGTGCTTGCAGCACTGATGGAACTTAAGAAATTTGAGCAGTGATACACCAGACCATCCCCTCGAACCTTATTCACCATTTGGTGGTACAAGCATTGTAGCAATAATGGTATTACCTTCTGACCAAGTTACTGAGTAAAGAGGAGAGTCTCTCAGGCACTCCTGATATATGGTCACTAGCAACGTCTTCCTGTGTGCTAATCAGCCCAAGCTCTTGCTGAATTTGACAGTTCATTTCTGCAAGCTTATCACACCTGGAATAAGAGCATACTTTGTTATAAATATTTATAAATTCTAAGTAATAAATCAACAGGACAGCACACAGAATTCTATCAGTTAGAATGCTAAGACAACAAGACCAAGGTTTGCATTCAAATGAAGCCTAATTTCAGCTTTTTCTTGGAGGATAGTCTTCTTCAGTCTTACTAGGGTTAACTGCAGCATTATCCTTTCACCAAGCACTTTAAAAGGAAAATGATTCCTTATTGGACAGTCAGCATGATTGGGTGCTAACTACCTTTAACAGGAACAAATCACCCTCAGCAGACACATGGTCATTACTTCAGAGTTCTCCAGTAATTGGTCACATCACAGGAATTCTTCCAACACAAAAACATTCTGATGATGAGCCCAAATTGCATCATTGGGTGCCTGGCTTGAAGGAGGATACTGAACCCTCCTGCTCGTGGAGGCCAAGTCACTGAATATAGTTAAGAAAGTAGAAGATACATTTCTAGAGGCTAAAAGGTGTCAAGGGGCAGAGGGGAAGAGAGCAGGTGTGGGCTTTGAGATAGAGGATCAGACACTGTTGTGTTAAATGACAGGGTAGGCTGGATGAGACAAACGGCCTACTCCTGCTCCTATTTTCTATATTTCTTAATCAAACAACAGACATTTAAAACAAAAGCAAAAAAAGTGTTGGAGAAACTCAGCAGATCTCCAGCATCTTTTGAGAGATAAACAAAGTTAATGTTTTGAAAGGTCAGTGGACTCATCAACCCTAGTTCTGACAAAGGGTTTCTGGACTCAAAACGTTAACTCTTTTTCTCTCCACAGACAGTGCCAGACCTGCCGAGTTTCTCCAGCACACTGTTTTTGTCTCAGATCCCCAGTCCTTTGCTTTATTTTAGCATAGACGTTTCGATGGGTAACATCTGTTGTTTGTACCCACTCTGTGCTGATACAACTGATCTCAGAGTAACTATGAAGACACCGCAAAAGGCTTTAGTGTCCCTGAGTGAGCGAGGGAGCACACGCACGCATGTGAGCCAGAAAGCAAATCACTTCAGTTTGTGAATTAAGAATAGTCACTTGGGCAAGGCATTGAAAAGCTGCCAATGTCTACAGAATTATCCAACAATTCAGGACAAGAGACATTACAATTGGATGGAAGGAATAGAAATTGAAAAAAGAAAAAGACCATGTTAATTCTACATCCTGAAAATATTCAGTTAGGAAATGAACACTGAATACGTCATATTAAATAAAAGTTACTAAAGTTAATTTCAAATTGGCTAAAATCAGGTTAAAAACTCCAATTTACAGTCTTTTATTCATGACAAATTGATAAGACTCAGCTGCAGGCTTTCTAATAGTTAGTTCTGCTTGCAACTCCATCACATGTTAAGGAAGAGCCACTTTGGCCGAAACTAAGTCATTAATTTTAAGAATCTGGATGTCTTTATTTTCAAAAACTGGTACTTATTAAGGTATATTCAGGCTGGTTTTGGTTAGGTTTATGTGAACATCAAGGCAAGCCCAGAAAATAGGTCTGTTTGAAGTATACTTGTGTGAAGTGTCACTGATTATATTCTGCTCCCTACAGATAAAGGAGGCACTATGATAAACTTCTTAAAAACCATAACCAAACAAAAAACGATACAGAAGTCCAGAACTATTTGTTCCAGTTCAAGACCTGTTTCAGTAATAATTGTAGGAACCATAACGAAAGTTGAAATGCTGCCTGCTCAGGAGAGAGGAGCACTCTTTCTATAGCCCAGCAAGGAATCCCACTGGCAGTTGAATACTAAAACATCTGCCCACAAATAACTCTGTACCACCAACTCCTGAATTAATTGGCATGGTGTATATACAAAGACTTACAGAACTTGCAAATTCACACACACAGTAAAAGTTGCTTTCTGGTAGATAGTAGTAAAATAAACTCAGCAAATAAAGATTTTGAGACATGGAAATTTCTGCTGGTTGAGTCCTGCTCACTTGGACTCTCTAGTACCAATATCCTACTTGATCACATCACCTGTATATGGTTTAAGTACGGTACTTACAGCCCTACAGCTGATTTAATATCAATGTTGTGACTTTAGTGCAGGTTTTCCACTCTCCATTCTCTAACTCTTAGTTAATGCATGCCATGAAACACCAGGAATTGAAACTGGTAGCATCATGCCATAATGTCTATTTTCAGTGGTGCTACCCCCTTTGGATACCCTATTGTCCAGTAATAGCATTAACTGCTCAAACCCCTGATCTCAAGCTCATTGGAATTCCTTGGACAAAGGGAAGAGCAGGAGATTTGCAAATTCAATGACGACCACAAATCAGAGAGACAAGATCAACCACCTCTGCTGGAGGCAAGCGGGAGGCTAAAACAAGGATATTAGACCAAGTTTAGAACGGATATTGTATTTTTCATTTGAAGCAACTGTGAGCAGCCAGAAAGAAAATAGGAAGATGGTGGAGAATTCATAATAATGGGACTGGGCCACATTTATTTTCATACAGTAAAATATCCAATAAAATTTAACACATGAGGAGGACTACATACAAACTTTAATATAGCAAGATACTCAATACATAAATACCCTACTGTAAATTTGAGCAGGGTTGAAATTGTTTCTTGCTGGTTAGGCCTTTGGTAGGTTTGCAGTCGAGGCACAAAATTTGAAATGAAATACGAAACAAATTATGGATATTATTCAAAATAAGCCATCACCTACAAGACCATCATTTAACAGAAAATGATTTGGCAATGCATGCGTCAAATTTCTCAACTTATTTGTAATTCTACAACACTGACATCATGAAAGAATCTAAATCCATCAAACAAAATTTCTATAATTATGAACAAATGGGAATTTCCAGTGGTCAACTGTAATTCAGTGTATCTCAATTTGACATTTGCGCCTACGTGCCAATTTATTTGTAAAATACTGCGCACCAAATGGACTGAATCTGGTTCCTCACCATTCCTGAAGTGACCCCAGGTTGTCCTCAAAGTAGGCACCATTTCCTGACAGCTGTAGTCGTCGTTTCCAGTCCTGAATCATATTCAGCACATGGCCCTGGACCTGTTCCAGAGATCTCACCGCTTCCAAGATGCTGTAATTTCTCTTCTGTTAAAAAGCCATTCAAAAAACCCAAAAAGATTCATTGTTAGCCTTAAGGCATGTTTACCCTATTAAAATGGGTCCCGGGGAGCAACACACAAATAACTTGTGTACCCAATGTATTTTGTGTTTGCTCTCTCCATAGGCCTGTTAGAGCTGAATCATAAGACTAAGATCAACTTATCTGTTGATGTTCAAATGCCATGCATTTCTGCAGATTGCAATAGCCTCTATTCAATATTTAGTGTCAGGCAAAGCTTATAAAAAGGTAAATGGGAGCCACCATTCAAAATGTCTAATTTTGTTAGCATGTGGCTAGACACAAATTTTTCTGCATATATACTGGTCATTTAGTAGACCACATGAAACTCTTGGTGAACTGCAAAGCAAAGCTAAAATAAAATGTCATGAAGTATGTGATAATTGGGAGGCACACATTCAACAGTGCTACAAATTAGTTTGAGGCTTCATTCCTCCCCCAACCCCTTTCTGTTTGCATGGCTATTTGAATGCAAGATTCATATCCAATTTAGTTAACTGTCTCAACCATCTGTGACAATTTAGCTCAAAAACTTTGTAAATTTTCTGTACAATTTTATAAACATTTCTGCATCAGTGAGTTAATATTAAACTGCAATCCGAGAATTCCTAAAGTTTTGGAAGACTGCGTCCCGACTCAAAAAGTATGCACAAAACAGGGATCCACGATCATTTTAATTTAGAGTTTTGTTTTTAAATAACATGTACCATTTTCTCCTCTCTTTTCTGCTCACCAAATCATTAACTTTTTCCAGCTTAGCACTGGCAAGACAAAAACCGTTGTGATCTGTACAACTGCCCTCTTTCCAACCACTTTGCTATTATTTTCAGTGCACAACTAAACTGAATAATCATTATCTAATTCTTTGCTAAAACCACTATTTTCTAGCTCTAACATGCCTTGTCTCCATCCATACTTCAACCCCATAGTAACTTTTTTTTCAAACTTCATTCACAGGATGAGGGCATCACTGTCTAGGCCAACATTTATTGCTATCCCTAATTGCCCAGAGGGCAGTTAAGAGTCAAGCACTTTGATGTGGGTCTGGAGTCACATGTAGGCCAGACCAGGTAAGGATGGCAGTTTCCTTCCTTAAAAAGGTCGTTAGTGAACCAGATGGGTTTTTCTTGACTAATTGACAATGGTTTCCTGGTCATCATTAGACTCTTAATTCCAGATTTTTTGTTTTATAAATTTAATTCAAATTCCACCACCTGCCATGGCCAGGATTCAAACCCAGGTCCTGAGAACATTCCTGTGTCTCTGGATTAACAGTCCAGCGATAATACCACTGGGACATCGCCTCCTCTTATATATTCACTGATGCTTTCAACTCCAAGCTCCATTTCTTGAGACGTACACACGTACACACGTGTCCCTGCACCTTAGCTTCAGGCAGATCTGATTCACCTATCTCATTCATCTCAACAACTGCACAATGCTCAGTCCTAAACAATACACTGATGTCATAAGATCCCTTCACAGCCTCAGCCCTTCCTACCTATGCAAGCTCCTCCAACATTATGTTCCAGTTCATGCCCTTTGTTCTTCTAATGCTAGCCTACCACATTCCTTGATTCCACCATTCACAGCAGAACCTTCAGTTATTACAATCTTACAATCTGCAATTCTTTTCTTGAATTACCATACCTCAGTCTACAAAAATCTCAATCTCCGTGCCTTCACTACCTTCTGCTGAATGCAGCTCAATGTCTGTTGTCTTAGCCGTCACCCCCACCGCCTCCCCAAATTGTGTGAAGTGCCTTGGGACGTTTCACTATAAGGCGCCATATAAGTGCAAGTGTTTGGCTGCAATTGCCAATTAAGTACATTTATTGCTGTATCACAATTACATCATTTTAAAAAATTACTTGTAATAAGTAAATATTCATAGCAAGTTCAGTTCAATGAGCAAGCACTTTTGGATGGCTGCCTAATGCCTAAATAGTCATACAATATGGTTATACTACTGGGATAGCTGAAAGTCTTCAGTGAAGCTGTAACTATATAACTAACATGTCCCTAGTTCTTAAAATTATTGGATCACATCAAGAGGATCCTCACTTTAAATAATCCAAGTAACTGTATAATCAAAATTAACAACCCAGTCAACAATACATGTCTAGGACTAATTACATTTTTAAACTATTATTAAATGATAGTATCCACAGAAAATTGGCCTACCATTTTCCACTTTGTCAAAGACACCATAATGTGTCAGTTTTAAACTAGTGCTCACTCTTTTAATGAGGAGATAAGCATCTGACTATATTTTTGCCAGTTCGTCATTGCATCACAGTGCAAAAGTTTTATAGACACAAGCAAGGAACGGTTTGGAACTATTCTGCACATCCAGAACAAGTGGCGTCTAATCCAACAGCAAATTGCAAAATCCATGAAAACCTCAGTTTATAATTCAAAAACCATTGAGGTTGTTTCCTTCAAATTCAAAACAGTGACAAGAAGGGGAGAAAAGCACATTTGGAATGGAGGGTACTCTGGGTAAAAGTATCTTTAGGTTAGGTGGTACTGTTGTTACAAAGCAGGACTACTTTAGGGATGATAATATGGTGAAGCAGCAGTGATTAAAGGCATACAATGAAGTTGTACTTTTGAATATATCCAAATCCAGTTTAGACTGATGGGATGAAAGTCTCTGCCATTGTAGGGGTCCCAAATGAAATGAGTTTGGGCAAACAACTCAATTTCAAACCAACATTGAGCTAACAGTATAGAACATAATTTAGTACAAATTGTCAATCTTACTCAGGAACTGGTCAATGAAAGAGGAAAAATATGACACTGATGTTGATTCACATTGTAAGGGAAGATTAAGAGGAAGCTTTGCTTTGCACCTAATCAGAGTATGTTTCATGTTGATACTGGATGCAAACTATATAAATGTGGTCCACTAAGCACTACTATCCTTCACCTCAGAGGCAAACCAGCTGTCATTAGTGGTGCTGTTTCCTAGTAAAGAGGAGATGTGGAGAAAATAAAAACAAAAACACAATGTATTCAAATGAGTTAATTCTTGGTTAGTGCTTTATAAAAAAAGATTTTTCCTGTTTGGGCAGTGGACGGAAAAAGGAAGAGATAAAAGGACAAGTATCATTCATTAAGAATTGCTACATTATGAAGGATTGCTTTTTTTAATATATAAAAAAAAAATCTAAGTTTCTGGCTAAAATGAAAAAGGTCAAGCAGACAAGTATGCAGTTACTTGGGCACTGCTGTCTTTATGCACACAACACTACTGCTAAGGGCTGGGCTAATCTAAAGATATTCAATGTCTAAAACCAAATCAGCAGAGAATTATAGCCAGTTTCCCAGGTGCAAACTTTTCTTTGCGTATATAAAAATTATGCATTAGTGCTGCAGTCTTTGATTTGCGCTCAGCATGAATTTACAGCCAGTGAACTAGTCATCAGAAATTCTTGTAAAATGCAATGCAGTCTGCCAAATGGTAACTGGTATGGACGAAAAGACATTCACCATCATATCTTACACTTGAAACTTTTCTCTGCAGTCATCTGCAAGAATTGCTACCAGCATAAACTTTCCCAGCAAATATGCTTGCCATGTAGTCATGAATCCATCAAGTAGCTCAAAATCATTTCTTCCCTCCTGCAAGCAACTTTTCTTCCTAAACTGCTTAAGATGTAAACTTCTTAATTAAGTTTCTCAATTTATTGGCAGTAACATAAGAGAGAGAGAGAGAGAGAGAGAGAGAGAGAGAGAGAGAGAGA